GGTTAGACCACTGCGAGTGAGAGAGAGCATCTCTACCCTGGAGCTTGCCTGGACCTCTGCGTCTCCTGGAATGTGTTTCAGCTTTCCGAATGCAAACATCATCAGTCCGCACATAGCTGTATTTCTCAGAACTGGGGTCTCTTTTTAAATGTTCAGGAAGAGCTTAATTAGCAGTCAAACTTACAATGTCACTGCCAGCTCTGGACACTTACTCTTTCAAATAGAGTAAAATACAAGTCTCTCTACCGCATCAGTCTTCCCCTTAGTGGGGACGCTCTTGTCCCTCATGAACATCCATTTTGCAGGATGGACCGGACAAGTACTCACTTCCAGGAAGCCCAGCACCTCTGTGTCATGGTTAAGGCCTGCCTTAGATTCCAGCAGGCCAGTCAGAAAGCAAAGGTGACCTGCAAAAATTCAGGCATGTGATTGCAGAGAGAGTGGCTCAACCAATGCTAGCAGCACTACTCCCTGAGAAGCTGCAGAAGCAATTAACCATGTCCACAAGCTGGAATAAATAGTGGTATATGCAGCCACATGCTGGGTGGGAGAAAAAGGACTTGCTTGCACCCACAGGCATGACTCCCGGGAGCGTCCTGGTTAGAGAAGTGTACTAGGCAGCTGTCTCTGTGGGCTCCATTTATACAAAGGGAAGAAGCAAGCTGACCTCATCTGAGGAGAAGTCCACACCAGTCATCCTCAGGGGTGGTGGTGACCAGGAGAGGCACTAGGTAACCTGAGGAATGGGGCCCATCCTGCTGCTGATCTCACAGGTGTTAAGGTTGTCTGTGTGGCAGGCTGGCCTCCCAGTGTGATGTCCAGAGCTTCAGTGACCAGCAGTGGCAGTACTGAGATGTCCCCACCTTGCCCTTAGCAGATGAGGAGAGTGGCACAGTGAGAGGGGCAGAGCATTCTTCCCACAAACTCAAGGCTGGCACTCCACAAGACAGGAGGGGAGGGGAGAGGAGAACTTCTCCATGACATGATTTGCTTGTGTGCAATAACCACAAGCAAAATCAATCCAAAATCAATCTGGCCTTTGATTTTTAGCCTAGCATTTAACTCTCAGGGTGGGGCCACCTTTGTAAATATTACTAACCAGGGGAAATATACCTTTGGATTCCAAAGACAACCAGATATCTTCCAGTCATAGAGAATTCATATTTAACAAAAGCTATTCTGTAAAAGTAACGCTCCATGAGTGATTAATATTTCATTAAGAGAAACAAGAATTCAAGCATTAATGGGAAAGAATGTCCATGGTCTCAATGCATCTCTGGCACATCTTCCATTATTTTTACTGGGGTTATTGGGTTGCCGGTTACTTGTTTTTATTGTTTGCTTATTCTTCTTTTGCTCCGTTCATCCCTATAAACAGAGATCGGTGGGGGGTGGGGTGGAAAGAAGAAAAAGATAAGCGCTTGCAGAGTCTTGTGCTCTTTGTCCCTAACAGATCCTGTCGGACCTGGTCGATTTAAAGGGACTCACTTCCCTTCTGTTCACACTTTTGGCAACATCCAAGGTGTTCAAAACTTCCAAGGGAGTGATGGGGTGTATAAAGTGGGGTGTGGATTACAGTGGGAGAAAGTGGATACAGGAGACAAGCTGAGTCAGCAGAAGAACAGTCTGAATTATAAGCATACCCGCATCACCTGAAACGCTGAGAACGTGGTGTCATACTGAGTGGGAGGCAGGGCTTTAGGCGTTGACATCGGAGCCACAGTCTGTCTAAGCTTGCCAGCTTCTGGGACAGAAGCCCCTGATGGTGGAGCAGATAGCCCAGGGACATGTTGAGGTAAGCTGGCACAGTGGTGGCATAGATGGCACAGCTGACAGCCTGGCAGGGAGGGGACAGGGCATGGGACAGTCCCTCCAGCATCTATGCAGGTCCATTCAGCATCATGGTGAAAGCTGCAGCCCAACTGCTGTGGGGGGAACAGCGCCCACAGGACATGGCACTGGGTGTGCTCTTTGTCCTAGCAAACCCAGGAGTTGCCCATTTGGACATGGAAATAGTAATTCTCCAGTCACTGATCACAGATAAAGAAACATGTGGACAAGCGATAATAAAGCCACAAGCGTCTCTTGAGCATCTTTTAATGCTGGGACCGAGACTGTGAACTTCAGTGTGTAGGTGAGAGTGTAAAATAAGCTATCAGGCAGAGTCCACATGTTAGTGGGTTCATAGTCAGTGCTCAGAAAATTTCAGCTGCATATTAATTCTACTCTTTAAAAGAGAGCTTGCAATTTTTTTAAGTGACTTGCAGCCTCAGGGGAAATTCCCTGGGGGAGGAGGGCTGGCCTTATAGCAGAATCTGACTTGGGAGTTTGAAGGACAGACAAGAATTAAATAAAAATCAGGAGAGGCGAACATGGGAAGGGGCCAGTAAGAAAGCTGCCCACCAAGCTGTCCTGTCTGGGTCCAGGAAAACCTGCAGAGGCCCAAGGTCCTGGGCTGCTGGAGAGGTGTGCCACAGTACAGTGAGCTCAGAATGGCAGGGGAGGTCTGAGCAGGTGACTCCCTCCATCAGCAACCCAGCTTCAGAGCTGGGCTGCATTCCTTTTTGAAGTTAAAAGAGGACCTTGGCCAACATATAAAGGTTTCTGCCAGCATGTAGCATTCAAGCTGACTTTGACCTAAGCCCTCTGTGATGCCATGCAGACAGCTCTCCTGGAGGGACAGCGTGGGATAGTTCCAGGCAGAACGCAGATGGCACTTCAGACAGCAACCAGGGCTTCCAAAACTACCAGCCCCTCCTAGTTCTAGGACACTGGAAGAAATCTCTGCAAAGAAACCATGTCTGTCTTTTCCTAATCTTGGAAAATCCAAGATCTTCAGAGTGATGTGGGAAGGGAAGGGCTTGGATGGTGTCTGTGGTCTCAAGAGCTTCTCAGTCTCACAGCAAAGCCACCAGCAGGAGCCACTGTTATTCAAAGGCCTCACTGGACCTAAATTTATATGTGGAAAAGCTCATGGACAACAGAGGCCTTCAGATTCTGTTGGAGTTGGAGGCTTCTAGCAAGCACAAGGTCCTGAGTTCAAGCCCCAGTACTACCAGAAACAAAACAAAACAACTTCAGATTCTATTGAACCCCAAAATGCAGACCCCTACTTTGTTGCAGAGCAGTTCATCAGTCTCTGAACCAAATTTAGGGCTGCAGGTTAAACATTATGAGGGTAACCAAATCTTCACTGAATACAAATAGTGGAGTATTTTAAATTAACTTCATTTGGTCTTCATTAGGTATTTAAATATTCAAATAATTTTAATTTTAAAAATGTGAATCTATGGAGGAGATAAAGGTGAAGGAATATGTTTGATGGGTTCACATACTTACATGAAATAGAGTGATGAAACCTCTTGCAAGGGCTTTAGGTGGGATGGGGAGGAGGTTGTGAGGGAGATGGGTGGGCAATCTAACCGATGTACAATGTAAGGCCGTTTGTACTGGCACAATGACTCCCCCCAGTACAACAAATATATCCTAATAAAAATGGAAAAAATGTGAATCTAGAAAGATAGTTTTCAGTCACACATAGAAGCTAAAAAGTTGATTTCACAGAAGTAGAGGGAAGAACAGCGGTGTCTCGAGATTGGGTGGTGGGGAGGGCAGTGGAAGGAGGTTGGGTAAGGTGTGCAGAGTTTCAGTTGGGTACGGAATGAGTTCTAGTGTTCTATAGCAAGATGAGGTGGCTCTATAGCAATTTGTGATATGTCTTATAAAGAACCAGAAAAGAGGAGTTCAGAACTTCCCAATACAAAGAAATGATAAATGTGTAAAAAGGTGGAAATGCTAATTACCCTGATTTCGCCATTAGACATATTTATATATTGAATAACCACTCTGCACCCCACAAATATGTACGTATATTGCGTGGTAGTAAAAGTAAGACAGTCCACTGGAAACAACTTCCACCTTAATCGCTGGGTCAGCATCATCTGTATCACGGGAGGCTGATCAAGATTAGCACTGGGGTCAGGTGGACGCATCCAGGAAGTATCCCAGTCAAGACCCTGTTGACCGGGTGCTGGACTCACTGCCTTCAGGTCTCATAGGGCCCCCAGATACACTGTGTCCTCTGGCCTAGATGCATCGACGCAGTTATACTTAACAGTTAGGCCTCTGGTTTTTTTCATGGTGTTAGGGATAGAACCCAGGACCTTCTGGGCTCCATGCCCAGCCTGGACCTCTGCATTTAATCCATGCTCAAAGCTCAAAACTCACATGGCGTGCTTCACTTTCCTTTTCTTCCATTTGTACGGGTTTGTATTCCTTCCTCACTGAGCTCCAAGCTCAGCTTTGCACAGTGAAGTGGTCACATAGGCCATGCTTAGCCTCAGGCTGTCCTTCCTGCCATGGCTGCATGGTCAGGCCTCAGGGCTCTCTGATAGATAGACCAAAGGCCCATCCAGAGGAAGTATGGGCACCTCCTAGTATATCTCCCCCAAACTCATCAGGGTGGTCTCAGAAGTCCAGTGGGCACCATTCTGACTCTGTCCTGGGTTTTCTTGTTTTGTTTTGTCCTGAGACAATCCTGTTTGTCCCTGGATAACTAAGGGTAATGGTTTACCAGCTCCCTTGTGGTGGATGAGGGCTAACCCGTTAGCATTTCTTGGTGCTTCGAAATATCCAAGTGGAAGCTTTATTTGGGGCTCTGTGTGCCTTGATTACATGAATAAGTAATTCGTGCATTAAAACTCTACCCTGGTCTCTGTCAACCACTTACAAACTTGGCTTGTGTTTAAGATCCTGCTCTGCAGCCCTACCCAACCAATGCTTAAAGCACTGTTTTTTGCACGGCTCCTTATGTGTTCACTTTATCCACGGGTCCCACTCCTTTCATCTTGTTACAGGAGCCTGTTTTCATCATCCTTGCTGGAGTCGGGCCTGCACTTATTCCCAAAGCTACTGTGGCAGCACTGGCTGTCCTCTGAAATGAATGTTCCCTGGGCGCCCTCTTGTGGATTGTGGAGCTAACTGTCCGTCAATGCCAAGGGATGGCAACCACAGTCCGGCCACGCCCCCTGCCCATCTTGGGGAATGAGACTCTGCTGGCACATTACAACTACGTGGGTAAGCTGGAAGGCAGGCTGCGGGACCCCCCCAAGGGCAGCACACTCACCACCATCCTCTTCTTGGTCATCTGCAGCTTCATTGTCTTGGAGAACCTGATGGTTTTGATTGCCATCTGGAAAAATAATAAATTTCACAACCGCATGTACTTTTTCATTGGCAATTTGGCTCTCTGTGACCTGCTGGCAGGCATAGTGTACAAGGTCAACATTCTGATGTCAGGCAAAAAGACGTTTAGCCTGTCTCTGACGGTCTGGTTCCTCAGGGAGGGCAGTATGTTCGTGGCTCTCGGGGCATCCACCTGCAGCTTACTGGCCATCGCCATTGAGCGGCACTTGACAATGATCAAGATGAGACCCTATGACGCCAACAAGAAGCACCGTGTCTTCCTTCTGATTGGGATGTGTTGGCTCTTTGCGTTTTCGCTGGGCGCCCTGCCCATCCTGGGCTGGAATTGCTTGCAGAACTTCTCTGACTGCTCCACCATCTTGCCTCTCTACTCCAAGAAGTACATTGCCTTCTGTATCAGCATCTTTATAGCTATCCTGGTGACCATCGTTATCCTGTATGCACGCATCTATTTCCTGGTCAAGTCCAGCAGCCGCAAGGTGGCCAACCACAACAACTCAGAACGGTCCATGGCCCTGCTGCGAACGGTGGTGATTGTAGTGAGTGTGTTCATCGCTTGCTGGGCCCCCCTTTTCATCCTCTTCCTCATCGACGTGGCCTGCAGGGTGAAGGAGTGCTCTATATTGTTCAAGGATCAGTGGTTCATCATGTTGGCTGTCCTCAACTCTGCCATGAACCCTATCATCTACACGTTGGCTAGCAAGGAGATGCGGCGTGCCTTCTTCCGGCTGGTCTGCAGCTGCCTGGTCAGGAGCCAGGGGGCCCATAACTCGCCCATGCAACCTGCACTCGACCCAAGCAGAAGCAAATCGAGCACCAGCAACAACAGCAGCCACTCCCCAAAGATCAAGGAAGACCTGCCCCGTGCAGCCACCTCTCCCTGCATCACTGACAGAAACAGAATGCTTCAGAACGGGGTCGTGTGCAAGTGAACACCTTCATGAGGCCATCTCTACAGCCACACTCTTATTTATGGCACTTCCCTGTGCGCCCCTAAAGACTTTGACTTGGGGAATCTGCTTGATGTGGCCCAACAGCCTGCCCAGTGTGGATGTCTCCCGAGGAAGGGACACAAGGAGTTGCCATCTACTTTCAATATAGATGTGCCTTGTCTGTTTCCTGCCCCAGCATCTTCAGGATGTACTCAGCTGCTGACATTATCTCCTGCCTTCCACTGAATCCCAGACATCACTTTCCCTTGTTGAAGGAGAGGGAAGGTAGTGATGCAGGATACACATGATGATTTTTGATAACTTCACACTACATTTATTATGCATAGAATTGGTGCTCATATATTTATCCATGACCATATTGTATGGGATTTGTGTTCCAGGCGTTTGCCAAGTGGAGGCCACATAACTATCTATGTAACTGGTTCTACAGATGTGTTCTGACTACAGCACCAGGAACAAGGACATGGCATGATTAAGTGGACATGCCACTCCCTGCCTCCCTGGAGTGATCTGAGATCTCATGCTAGGCAAGGTTTTAAGGCTTCTATATTCATAGAAAGGTTTGTCCGAGGCCAGTTTAGATGTGTGGAGGCTCCACCAAGGAGCTGGGGCCGTGGGCAGTTTTGAGAGCAGACACTGTCCGTGACTGTGAGAGCCGTGAATTGTCAGAAAACATCATCTGCCTGTTGATGCATTACAGTTCAGAGAGCTGAACTGTGATGTTTCCCACATGATACCGAAAGATTTCATTGCAACATCAGCTGAGCCTATGTCACTCCGTTTACAAAGGAACTGCTCAGAAGACATCTTACACGCTCCTCGCCAAGGATTCCACACGCGGTACACAGATGAGGTGTGAACAGGTGTGTGGAGCTCGCATGTACACACCACTGCTGGGTGAAGTGCTTTGTAAAAACACCAACAAACACAATCGTCAAAAGGATTCTCACCTGCGGGAGCCTCATGAGCGTCCCCTAAAGTCTTGTAGGTTCAATGAGAATTGTGCCTTGTTAATAACTGAATGAGCAGTCTTAATGACTTTCTAGAAGAAATTTATGCGGGAATATCACCTGAGGCACGTACTCTTATTCGGGACTTTTCCATTGTCCACATGCTCACCAAAGACTCTTCCTTATAAGACGACATAGAATGTCATCTGAGAAACGCAGTGCTCTGTGCAGCCATTCTTTTTGTTTTGTTTTGTGTTTTTGCTGTGTTCTCTACATCACTGAAAAATAGCTGGTTCTCTGGTCACATAGCCTGAGAAACTCCAGGGCACTCCAAAAAAAAGGAAATCATTAAGGCACCAGGTTTAGGGGAAAAATAAATAAATAATTGCATCTGGGAGCCAAAATGCATTTTCACATGGAAAATGAAATGACTTTAGGACTTGGTCTGTCCTAATTTTGAGTTGCTTTGGGGGTCTTGGATCTCTTGGGCAAACAACACTTTGCCCGTGATCCTGAGTATAAACGTCAGCTCTCATTCATTAGCCACACCCACTGTTCCCACTAGGAGGTGTCCATGCTTGTGGTGTGACCTAGGGTCCTTAGCGAAAACTCAAAACTTTTAAGCAATCAAAATTTAAAATATACTAAAAAAGTAATTTGCTCGTTTGATATATGCAAAACCCAATCACCTTTGATAGCCATACACACCTTCCTAACTGGCTAGCCAGCTGGAGATAATTTAGAAGCAGGGCATGTCAAAGCCTTCACCCTGAAGGATAGAAACAGGGTTTCAAATGCCATAACACAGAGAACCTATGCATCAGGTCTCATTGCCGTTAACCACCTTTACTATTTCCAATGTGTGTTTGTGAAATAAAACTGAAAGCCTTCATATAAGCCCATTCTTGAGAGTCCACGTGGTAGATTGTGCCCATGCTTTCACACAAGCTCTTCCTAATCACCTGGTACCTTTGTCCTTATTTGGGAAATAAACACTTAGCACCCCCAATCACCTTTTACCTTTATCCCTCCCCACTCTCATAGATGGTGTTTTATTGAAGCTTTGGTGTACTGGGCACTATTTGTACCAGCTTTGGAAGATCCCACTGTTTTGAAGAAAAGGACCAATACACAGCTATTTGATAGGAGGAATTTGTGAGAGCCGTTCCAACAGTACAGCCAAAGTCATGGGATCTCTGGTTCTGCTTCCATGGCTGTGATTTATGCAAGAGTTGTGGACAGGCAGAGCAGACCTTTGCTCTAGATTTCTCCTTCACAAATAAAAGTTTTAGCCTCTCTGTCCTGTGTCCTTTGAAAAGAGCATCTGGTGTTTGGCATAAATATATGTTCTGATGGTAACACTTACTACAACTGATTCACCAAAGAATGCAGCCGCCTGGCTCATCTGTCACTTCTGATCCTTGTCAAGGCCATGAATCCCCAAGGGTCCCTCCAGAGCACTCTACTAAGCTGCCACTTTCCTTCTGGGGAGTGCCTGAGAACACTTATTTTCTAGAAGAAAGTTTCAAACCTCTCTCCTCTGTTTTGTGAGACAGTGCAAGACCCGTTATCCAAATGAACGAGACTTTTCAAGACAGTCTTTATTGCCAACAGACTTACATCTATAGCCACTGAAACAATTAACTATTAAAAAATGGTCGTTTCTCTCAACCACTGAGCCATAGTTATTCTGAGCTGGTAAAGAGCCTTTCACAGAAGTGTAACAAGGTGCATTTTATAGAAAACATCTAATTACATTGCCAGTTCCATGCTTTTAAATTGTATCTAGAAGTGCAAAATCTCAACACCCAAGTGTTTTCAGTATCTAAGTCAAATATCTAAAGGGGGTGCTACGTAATCAGAAATGCACGTACCACTTTTCTGATGATAAAGGCACATTTTCCAATGACCAATTATAATGAGAAGTGCAGCATTACCTAAATAATGGCATCTGTCATTCCTGGGTCACGGTGATGACATGGAGATGCTATGTGCTACCTCCACCGGGCGATCCCAGAAGCACGGGGACGTGCCAGACCCACAGTGAAGGGCCCGCGAGTGGAAAGCACATCATTTCGTGAAGGAGTGAAATGGATTCCCTGAAGGGGCGGAAGGAGACTAAGCCAATTATCTTCACCTGTCTTTTCAGATGAGTCTCCAAGATGTGGCCAAATAAGTCAGCTTTCATCAAAGATAGAAAACTTGAAATCGGTGTTATACATCCACCCGAGGGATGTCCGAGAAGCCATTTCCATTCCAGTATGAAGGTAGAAAGGAGTGTATTGTGTACACCCACACAGACTTCTTCAGTAATTCTTCTGTGTTACAAAAGTCAATGGAAATGAAGCAAACACTTCAATCAGTAATCATTTATCAGTATGTATAATTTGCCACCCAAATGCTTTTAAAAAATTACTAAATATCTCATTATTACATATTTAGTTTTTACATGGCACTATCTCCAAATCCTGGGATTTAAACACCAAATGTTCAATTCTGAATACAAAGAAACAGTCATATACTTAATTTCACAATATTCCGGAACAAGTTATATTCAATAGTCAAATGAACAGAGAACATTCCGCTTGCAACTCACACATAGTTGTTACAAAAAAAAGGAACTCGTGTTCAGAGGTGGGTTTGTTGTTCGTTTCTATATTGTGAACTGTCACGCTTGATTTCAGTGGTTAGAAACTTTGTTGTGGTGAAAGTGTCTACTTGAGTGTCAATTCGTGGCCTCGAAGGCTTCAGGTCAGGCCACCCTCCAGGCATAGTTCTACAATAGCTCAAGGTGAGCCAACAAAATAGACATTTAAAGCTGTGGGGTTTTTTGTTTCCTATGGTTTCCCCTGTGAGGATGGTTCTTCCATCCCAGGGGGAGGAGCCTGTGTGTTTGGGGTCTCAGGGATTCACTTATTCGGGGCATCTGAGACAGCAGAGAGAAGGCTGGGAGCTGCTCCCTTCCCTCTGAGCATCCTACTGACCTGGTGCCTCCCAGGACCAGGTGAGTCCTGAGCCTGCCTCACCCAGTGTCTGTTCTGCCTCCTCTGCTGCTCCACATCACCAGCTACTGTGCAAAACTGGTGCCTAACCTCAGTGGTCGTATTGAACTTGAACACACCAGCACCATAAGGCTTGCCACACTCCAACCCCCTCGTGTGTGTGTGTGTGTGTGTGTGTGTGTGTGTGTGTGTTACTAGCTTATAAACTCAAGCAGAATTCTCAAAGTTTCACTGGAATTTTCATCCCAGGAACCCCAGTGCAGGGCCTGCCACATAGTAACTAACACACAAATATGACCAGGAAGGCTGGCTAGAAAAGCAAGAGGCTGTGTGGACCATATGCAGTACACCCAGGAAACACAATCACTAGCCCAAACACACCACAATGGAGACAGCCTCCTTTTCAGCACAAAAGTGCTGTGTGCTACTGGGTAGATAAAAATGTAAGTCTGCAGGTGTTTTCTCTTCCTTCTTCCTTCTTCCCACCTTTATCCTACCTGTAGGCCTTTTTTCCTTGTCTTCCCCTGCTGACTTCCCTCTTGTCCCTCTGTAATGGCCCACAGTGCCCCCTCACTGTCCTTGTGCCCAGTTCCTGCTCCTTTTATGCTGGGGTACTGCAACCTGCAGTATCCAGGGCCCTCCTGCCTATGTCTGCAGGTTCCAGGAGCTGTCAATCCCCAAATTCTCCATGCTTGCTTGAGTCCTACTTGTCCTTGTTAGTTACAAAACCCGAGGAGTCCCAAGGTGCTCAGCACAGAGCCTATCTGTGTGTGGACACACGCACACAGAGATGCATATCGCTCTGATCAATGGAAGTTATATATATATATATATATATATATATATATATATATATATATAAACCACATTCACAAGTCCTGGAATCAAGTTGCAATTTTTTTCTGGCTGCTGTAAAATGTGCCAGTTTTAAAGCTACATTTGTTGCTTGCAAACTTATAAATATGTATAAACCCCATTATAAATAAATCGTGTCTGGCAGATGGCATTTTATTTGCCAGCAATGGGTGCATTGAGTTATAAGTGGTTATTAATCCTCCACTTTTAAATTCACAGATTGGGTCCTGGGATTTCTAACATGAAGTGGTGTGAAAATCACAAAATAGAGGGGAAAGATATCAATAAGAGTCAGGGAAGGGCTGGATACTGTCAGCAGTTGATGGTTCCCAAAGTCAAGACTCCTGACTGACAGCATCAGTATCATCTCAAAATGTTTTTGAAAGGCAAATTTCCAGGCTTCACTCCAAGCCCACTGAGTCAGGACCTCAGGGAACAGAGCCCTGCAATTTTTGGGTGAACCCACAAGAAGCCAGATGGTTCCGGTGGTTGCCCTCCACCTCAAGTCTACTCATTAGAAATGCCTGCCTGTAGCCAAGGAATTCCCAGCTTGCAGAGTATGCTGGGGGGTCCACAGGCAGTGAAAAATTATCCCAGGTCTATAGCTATACCACTCTGAATGCTCTCACGAGGCTAAGTCTGACCTCAAAAGCTAAGCAGGCTGGTCACTGGCTAGCACTTGGATGGGAGAAATTGCCCCTGGAAACAGCCTTCATGGATGATGGGCTTGGTGGAGAGTCCGACATTCTGCCTCAGCCCTGTCTCTCAGGGCTCCAGAGGGAACTGCCCTGGTCAGCAACCTCCTTTCCCAATTCTGGGATTATCACCAAATAACCAACACATGCTAAGATCCTCTTTCGTGTCTTCTTCTGGAAGATCCCCAGCTCGAACAGAGGAACTAGAAGCCCTGCCTCTCCCATCTGAATGACTCAGGCTTCCATGTGTTTTGAGATGGAATATGAATATAAATTTGAGAAGGATGGTGCCCTGTGCTATTTTCATGGGGTGAGCTTCTTGTGCAAGTCCTCAAGGAACTTAGTAAGTCCTGCACTCTTTCCCAGATTCAGCCATTGACCCTTGCCATCCCCTGGCAGGTCACTTGGCTCCAGTTTGCTCATCTGAAAAACAATGGTTCCTCCAGCTGAGGTGCTGTTAGGGTGCCTTGTAAAGCACCCTTCCCTGTTATCCCCTATGAAGACAACAGTTGTAGGTGTTCAGGATGTTCCAAGAAGGGTTTCTCTACTTTGGGTTTCTTAGAAAGCACACTACAAGTTCCACAAGAACCAGTGCTATATTGAAACCCACTGCAAAGACTTGTCTGGGTGCAATGATTTATTTTGTAATCTTTACACACTCCTCCCACCCACTTTCAATCTGGCTGTCACCATCTACAGGAAGGGGTTTACAGATAGCATGCAGTCTCAGAACCAGCGTGTGCTTTTGTGAATGAGGTATCCCAGGAAGTAACTGTTCATGCATTGCACGTGTTCATCATCCCCACCCTGCCCCCCACTGTGGGCATAGAGCAAGCCACAGCTCAAGAGAAACCCAGCAACCAGCCTGGTCACTCTGGCTGTGTTGGAGCTGTGGCTGGACAGAGGAGTCCTGTGCTGCTGGCACTGCCCCCACAGAGATCTGCAGTTCAGGCTTCTGCTCAACTCAGCCCAACAGGAAGAGAACATGGAACTGACCCTCAGGTAGTTTCTGAGGCAGAGGAAATGAGAACTAAAGCCTTACTCAGACAATGGAACAACAAAGTGATGCCACCAGGGAGAAAAACTTCACTTTAGGAGCTCAGGCCAACTTCAGGAGCCCAAGGATTGGCATGGAGCCTGGACACATGACAACTGTGGCCCGAAGCCCTTGGACCCTTTTGTGCCTTCTTCTCTCTGGGCCTATCCTTCCTTCCATGTTAGACCTTTACCCCCACTCATGGCTTATCAGCTTTCTGTCTTCATTCAAAATTGTCCACCACTCTCTCTGCCACTACTCAGGGGGACATTGGTCCATCTACCCAACATAGGAGATGGCCTGAACAAAGAGGTGCCCCTCAAAGCTGAGCAGGCACCCAGCTCCATGGTCCTTCAAATGTTAAAAGCTGCACCCTTGGTAGTTTAACCATAGGATTTAAAAGTGAATCATTTGGTCACGCTGTTTGTCAGACTGTCTACCTCATGCTACGGGAGACAATCAGTTGAACCTGGGTGGTTAAGAACCAAGGCTGACTAGACCACGATAAAAAACCCCAACGGGGTCCCAGCTATCCTCATAGGACACAGATGCCATTTGAAGAGTGGCTAATGTCCCTACAGGATAGAAGCAGGAGGGAGGGGCCATTGGTCAGTAGAGTCACTGTGAAAGGGCAATAAGAGGCTGTTTTAAGACTGCTGGACCCCATCTTATACTCCCAACAGAAGCAGAGTTCTGGATGGAGTGGTGGGGCGCCCACCATGGGAGGGGCAGCAGGGCCTGGGCATGCCCCACAGGCTCAGGGTGGCCCAGCCACTGTGCCCTGGGGATCGGAGCCCCTGAATGCACCTATAGTGCTGCTCTGCCTGGCTTGCTGTTCGGCAGTGCTCTGGCATCCAGCCAAAGATGCAGTCTGAGAGCCTTGGGGCAGCAGCCCAGGCCGGGTAGGAAGGAAGTCCTGTTGGACTTGCTTCCAAATCCTGAGCTGCAGGGTGGCACACGGCAGCACTCAGTTAATGTCGAGGGAGCAGGATAGCTCTGCTGCCAGCTGACCTCGTCACCTGGAGCGAGCCTCATTTTCCCCATATGTAAGTGAGGCTCGGGAGAATGCCCCATTGCGTGGGGCCAGAAGGAAGAGATGAGAGAGCTGTGTGCTCTAACACTTTACCAATAGAAGGGAACAGAGACTAGAAAATGGCTGCCATCTGCTATGTCTGACATCTGCTCTGACAGTGAAAAAGGAATGCCAATCTTTTCACTTGGCACTATTCCAATGTGATCAATCTTGTAATTGGAGATCAAAATGATGTATTTTGAATTAATATTGAAAATTTAAAAAAACTTGACTCAAATTCTCCCAATTTTCTACACTGATTCCCATGCAAAATATTATATAGAGAGAACTTACCAACCTAAAAATCAGCACTGACTTCAGAGCTACTACCACTATGGATTACTACCTCTGAATTTCCCTCAAGAGGAAAACAAGGTAGTGCAAACCTTACAGTGTACATGGTTCTTAACTTCTGCTTCCTACTTCGCCAGTGTTAATGTGAGCACCAGCATTTTGGCCTCACACAAGTGAGGAATCCAAGACTGTTGAAAGGAGGTATTTCATACATTCATATGTGTAGAGAACATCCACACACAAGAGGGTCAGACCTGTGTATATGTGCATGTATGGAGCACAGCCTTCTGGGGACAGGGGAATACAGTGATGCTTGCATGCATGCTGTGCCTGAAACCAACACCACTCAGGAAGCAGCGGGTGTTTACACTAGTGCCAGGCTCTCTTGAGTTTCAGTCCATCACTGAACATTCAAGAAGATATACTCCATTCTCAGCCTGGATTTATCAGAACTTTGAAAACTCCAAAGCAACCTCTGTGTGTGTGTAAAGCCTGGAATCTGCCCCAATCCATCCCTACCTATTAGCTCCACCCTGTCCTCCCAAAACAGGGTAGCCACACTTAGCATTATAACTTTGCAGAACTGTGACTCACTGCTTTTAAAGCATCCAGCTTATCACTATCCAACTCTCAAGTGTGTGCAGAATGTTCTTCTGTTCCACTGACAAGGGGTGCCACAAGCCATGGGATCTCACGGGGACCAGAGCTAAGGTTGCAGCTGTCTGAAGAGGTACCAACCAACAAATGAATCCACCATCTCTGCATCAAAAGCCGTAACATCTGTGTAACATCTGTTAAGTCACAGGGTAATCAAAGCCCAGATTTTTTTTAAAAAGTCATAAACACTGCTAATTTTTAATTCCACGTGATCCATCATGGAATGACAGCTTTTGATTTGAAAGGCAGAGAATGAACACAAAGAGTCTTTTCCATGGAGCACTGGGAAACCTTAGGAGGGGGAGCAAGGGATTCACCACCCCTCACTCCAGGGGCAAAACTTCTAATGATTCCAAAGACTCTAGAGCCAGGAGTATTGGGCAGTGTGTGTGTCTCCAGGACCGAACTCTGCACGACTGCCTGTATCTGCCTTTGCAGGGCTCTTACACGTGCTTTTTTTTGTCTATTGAATACAGGGGGAGGGGGAGAAATTTCAGTGACAGCCCACTGGCTAGAAAGGTACAGACCAAGAACTCACCTTAAGTACATTCTATGGATACTCATTTCATCTTTCAATGGGTGAAAACAGGGAAGCAGTTATCAACTAAGACCTTGATTGAGGAGCCTTATTTTGTGCCATATTTGGCTGCAAACAAATCCCAAAAACCCTCACAGGACTGGGGTGAAGGGTAACAGGTTCTCATGATCAGCATGACCCAGGGGAGGTAGGGTGCCACTTGCTCTTTAGTGAAGCCATGGTGAATTGGTTCAGAGGTGGAATCCTGGGCACAACAGCATGCAATGCAGAGCATAGGAGGATGGCTGAAGGAAGAAGCTGACTCCCCATCAGCCATCAGCAATGCAACCATATCTCAGAACCAGAGTTTACATGGTACTTTAAATGTAGGGCTACACATTGTCTGGCAGCACGCTGCCTTATTTTATCATGATTTATCGTGGCGCCTTTTGCTTTTCTCTTTTCCCCTGGTATTGTGCTTATTAGGTAAAACTTCAGGTTACACCTTCTAAGTGAAATTTTCCCAGTGGAATAGATCAAGTGAGTTAAATTTCTGCCTGGACAACTTCAGCCACACTTTTTTTTTTCATTAAAAACATACATCACAGAACATTAGTCTTACATCTTTCTTAATCTTAAAAAATATAAATATAGAGGGAAATTTTGTACAGGATGTATAGGTATATACACCTTTAATATGCATATGAGAAATCTGGAATAAGTTTATGAAACTTGAACTCGAAGGAAACCTTCCTTTGGGGGTTTTTGAAGAAGGTGCTGAGCCCACAGGCAGTTGCCTCAGTTCCCATAACTGGAGACTAATCAACCCCAGGACCTCCTGACCTGGTGCACAGCTTCAGGAGGAGGTGGGCCGGCTCACTGCTTCCTCTCCACTGGCTGCTGGAGGCAGAGCTCACTCCCAGCAGAGACAATGGGCAGTCTGCTCTCCAGGTGGTGGTTAATGAGATGGCTGATGTTGTCGAAGACCCTGTCCTTCGTCCGGATCTGTGGAGAACATGAAGGGGAGGTTAAGCATGTCCCACAGACAGAAAATAAAGAGAAGATACCATGCTCTACCATCTCAAAGTCAGCTGGATCATCTGAGTTGGCCTCCAAGGGCAAGGGGCCATGGGAGGGCTGTTTTCCTGGGGCCCAAGGGCCCATATCTTATCTCAGAGATGCTTTCTGCACAAACCCTAGCAAGTGACAGCTGTCCAGTTCAGACGTTTCATTTGTCCACACTCTAAGACTGACCCCTGGAATGTTCCATGGACCCACCTTTGTTATTCCTTCCCTCCATGACAACACTGGGACAGGGAACTGGAAGTCCCTGCATACAGTAAGATAAGTAAAGGAATAAAAGATACAAAGATAAAGAAAGAAGAAAAAAAACTGCCATTGTACATAGACTGCATGATTGTCTATGAAGAAAATCTGAATCAATAACAAAATACCTCCTTTAACTGATAAACAATTATGTAAGGTTCCAAGAAACAAAGTTAATAGACAAAATTCATCACTTTCATTTATACCAGCATTGAATACATGGAATTTGAAAGTTAAAACAATGCCAATTATATTAACATCTTCAAAAATTGAGTACTTATATTCAATGAAATACTTAGGTTTAAATCTAACAAAGTATGTAAAGGTCTATGTGAGGAAATCCGCAAAAGTCTGATTAAAAATAACTCAGTAAAAGGAGAAGATATTCCATGTTCATGAATAGGAAGACTCAATATTGTCGAGATGTCAGTTCTTCCCAAACTGATCTCTAGAGTGAAGACAATCCCAATCCTATTCTTTGCAGATTATGTTGTGGGTATCAACAAATGTTCTCTAAAGTTTATATGGAGAAGAAAGAGATACAGAGTAGCCAACATAATATTGAAAAAGGACAAATTTGGAGGTTGGCAACTACTAAACTTAATGACATACCACAAAGTTATAGCAATCAAGATGCTTTGGTATTAGTGGAAGAATAGACAATAGATCAATGCAAGAGAATATGGATTCCAGAAATAGATCCACACAAATACTGTCATCTGAACTTTAACAAGGAGCAATGAAGAGGAGATAACATTTTAACAGATGTTCCTGGAGCAACTGGGCATTCACATGAAAAAAAATCTACACAGAATCTTTATACCCTTTAAAAATTAGCTCAAAATGCATTACAGACTTAAATATAAAACAGGAAACTATAAAACTTTTAGAAAACAATATAGAAAAAAATCTAGACCACCTTGGGTTTGACAATGACTTCTTAGGTACAACACCAAAGGCACAATCCATGAAAGAAAGAATTGTTAACCTGGACTTCATTAAAATTTAAAAATTCTGTGCTGTGAAAGACACTCTCAAAAGAGATTGAGAAGACTAGCCATGGATTGGGAGAAAAATCTTTGTAAAAATACATCTGATAAGACACTGCTATCCAAAATACACAAAGAAATATTCAAACTAAGCAATGACAAAACAAATAATCCAGTAAAAATGACTCAAAGTCCAATACAGGGACCTCCACAAAGAAGATAGCCGTTGGGAAATAAGCATACGTAAAATCTTCTGCATCGTATGTCATCAGGGAAATGCAAATTAAAATCACAGTGGGATGCGAGTATACCACACCTATCAGAATGTCCAAAATCCAGGACACTGACAACACCAAACGCTGGGAAAGAGGCTGAGCAACAGGAAATCTCTCTCACTGCCTGGGGGATGCAAAATGGTATGGCTACGAGAGAGTTTGGTGGTTTTTCTTATAAGTAAACACATTCTTACCATGCAATCTACCTATGACACTCCTTGGTATTTACCTAAAGGAGTTGAAAACTGATGTCTGCGCAAAAACCCGCACACAGATGTTTATAACAGTTTTATTCTTCATCACACAAACTTGGAAGTAACAAAAATGTCTTCAGTAGGTCAACAGATAAAGTGTGGTACACCCAAGTAGTGCTGTAAAGAAAAGAGCCATCAAGCCATGGAAAGCCATGGAAGAAATTTAAATGCATATTACTAAGTGAAAGAAGCCAATCTGAAAGGTCAACATGCTGTTATGACTCCAACTATACCATGCTCTGAATTACAGAGAAAGTAAAAAGATCAATGATGACCAGGGTTTGGCGGGGAAGGAATGGGGAGGATTAGGGGGGTACAGAAGATTTTTAGGGCAATGAAACTACTGCTTGATACTGTAATAGTGGGTGCTTATCATCCACAGGTATGTATATATCCATGTCCAAACCCAAAGGATATATAATAGCAAGAGCAAACTCTACTGTAAACTATGGACTTTGGCTGATGATGCACCATTGTAACCAATAGACCACTTTGGCCGGGGATGTTGATAGTTGCGGGTAGGGAGGAGGTAGGGCATATATGGGAAACCTCTGGCTCTTTCACTCAGTTTTGTTGCAACCCTAACATTTCTCTTAAAAATTAAGTCTATTAAAAACAAAGAATAGACTCAATGAGCAACCTAAGAGTGTTGACTTCAGCTAGAACAGATGGAGGAGGTGGGTAAGATTTTACACAGAAGAGAAAACAATGTCTCCCTTGTTGGAACAAGGCTACTTCAGAGCCTCTGCAAATTTTCATGGTAAGGAATTTCTTCTTTGGTTTGATCTCTGGAGACCATTATTGCTAAAAAAAAAAAAAAATGCTATTATTTTAAATAGACTCCCAAGGTTCCAAAGTGATTAATTGAGCTAGCCTTTTCTGAGGCAGGGGCACACACACACAGCATCATGGACTGCAGTCAGCAGGCTTCTCTCCCAGTGTCACAACTGGGGAGGGCTGAGCTGGGGCTAGGGTCGGGGTGTTGGAGGCAGAAGACAGGCACAGGTTGCATGGCAGGTACATTCCTGTCAAACTCAGGTGTGGAGCCCCTGTGGCCCGCAGACAACCACAATCTGGCTTATCATTTGTGTCCTTCCTCCTGGAAACCTCTTATGGTTCCCCAGATGGCTGGTGAGAAGGCATGGAGTCCTCCTCTGGCCATGACCTATTTCCAGGCCTAAAGCAGGCACTGACAATGCCATGGGATAGAAAGAGGACCCTCACAGAAGTCCTTCCAGGGTTGGAGAAAAACAGCAGTCATGTGAGGTGGGAGGTACCTGTCTGAGAGGGGCACAGTGGACAGCCAACCTCAGGTAGCAGATTTTGTGAGAAGGACATAGAGGTCTAGGGTTGGGGACACAACCCAGACCCCCTCACTAACTCCTGCAGCTCTCCCTCAGCAATGACTAAGTCATGCATGGACACCCGTTGAGCTACATTAATGCATCAGGGTAGAACTCTGCTCTTTGGGCTCTGCACTTGGTGACTGTCAGAATTGCCTGGTGGTGGGAGCCTGAAGGGAAGCCTCCTGCCCTCTTGTTGGTACATCTGAGCCTTCTAGGACACTTGGGAATTGGGAAGATGCAGTGGTCCCTAAGCCACTGTGCTGCAGGCTTCATTGACCTCATATGGTCAGTTTGCACTGAACTTACATGCTCTTGTAAAAGCTGGAGGTGGCTAACCCAGCGCTTTGGAATGCTGGCAGTCCTGGGCTTATGTGCAGCTTTTGTTCTAATCGCATGGGAGGTACAGTCGTCCTTCAGAATCCCAGGGGATTGTTTCCAGGACCCCCTGCAGATACCCAAATCCAGGGATGCTCAATCTCCTTATATAAAATGGCATAGTATTCACATATAACCTACACAATCCTCCTCCTAGACTTTAAATAATCTCTAGATTATTCAATGTAAATGCTGTGTAAATAGTTATTATACTGTATTGTTCAGGGAACAGTGACAAGAAAAAGTCTGTGCATGTTTAGTACAGACATAATTTTCCCCCAGTTGGTTCCATGTCTGTAGGAAGCACAGATTCAGAGGGCTGACTGTCTACCTGTTGTTAGCATGGACTCTCACAGTCAATTCTACCTTCAAAATGATGTCTTAGGAGCTCTGTGGCTGGATAAAATAGCAGAGTCTCACCCCAGGAATATAACTCAGGGACTCCCCCTGTCCCTCAAAGCCCTTCTGTGATCCTAGCCCCACCCTTGGGAGCCTAGGCAATCTTGGAGGTGTGCTATCCCCAGGAGGCCTCCAGGATGCCATTTGAGGAGTCACTAGAAGAAACACAAGGAAATCCTTACTTTACTGCTCAAAGAGGGAGGTGGGGCCACCACACTCAATTTCTTTAATGCCATCTGCCCCAGAAACATCCTCAGTGACCAAGGACACCACCAAATCCATTCACAGAGGGGAACAGGAACGCAGCCTTCCCACAAAACAACCTCATACATTCATAAAACTCCACAAACCCAGAGCAAAGCTGGAGAAAAAGAGGAAGTGCAGGCAGGAAATGAGCAGCTGGCTTTCCCTACAGTCTGCCTGCGCCTAGGTGGGAAGCAGAGGCCCAGATGCTCACCTGCCTTGGGTACTCCTAGGGTGAGGCTCCTCCATCCCTTGTAAGGTGGAAACTGTGTGCTTCCATCGCCACCTTGTGGCCAGAAGAACACAATGGTGGGGAATTTGAATTTTTCCATTCAACGCTGGTGTCTGGAAACATTTTCTTAGTCAGGCAACAACTTGTCACCCAGAGCCCTGTGTGGATGCCCAAAATGTGTAACAGAAAGGAGGCAGGAGGGAGCAAGCTCCAGAGCACTCCCAGAAGTCCACTCTGCCCCTTGGGGTTGCCCAAAGCAGGACTGGAAGATGGTCCTTTCTAGCTAACACCTCCATGTGCTGGGGAAGTCACACAACTACCCAGAGCCATGGGTGACTCGATAATTATGGTCACACCATATTCTCTATTTCCAAGGCCCAGAATAGAAGTTGGCATGTCATCTACTAGACTGAGCAGAAGCCTCTTTCATTCTGCTGGGCAGATAGCCCTGCCTCACCCCACACACCAGTAGGGACCAACCATGATGTTGACAGAATTGGGTCCTCAGCAGAGAAGCTGGCAGGAACCTGCATAGCCTGAGGCACGGCTCAAGAGCATTGGCCATC